AAAAGTTCAAAAACAAAATATTGCTAAATATATAGCGATTTTAAGAGTGATTATGTAATTTGCTGTGCATTACGGTTATGTCTGGTCACTGCTAGCTCTTTATTTCCATGGTAACACCTTCTCTTCTGACTGGTCGATATCTCATTAGTATTATAGATAGTTTAGTTCTTCAAAATATATTTGGTTATTAACCACGCTTTTATTAAGTTGAAGCACTACAGAAGATCCAATCAGCACTTAACACCCTCAGAGCTCACGGCAGGTCTATCATTATCACTAAAAATCAGTTTCTGTATGAAGAAAATAAATTAGATGTTTACTTTGAGATCTCTACTGTGCTCAGTATGCAAAAACTTCAAGCGGACACATGATTGGTTGAGGTATTTGGCGTCCTCTATTCAGAAACAACACTATTGAGGGTGCATTAGGAAACATCCACATAAATGCATTGATACGATGTGTTGAGTGGTGCTGATACTGAAAAATTAAGAGCCTTCAGGGTCCACTCTACCGTTATAATCCTATTACTAATGATCTTCCATTGAAAAAACAAATTACTCAAGTATGATAGCCTTTGAATATGTTAGCGCTAAGCCGCGCTTATTACCTGAAACATCAAATATCGCTGGACCGAATCGGTGATTCATCCTCGCAATTCATCGTGTTAATGTGGATACTCGGGTTTGCCAAATAAAGAAGGGAAGCTGAAATAAAGGGCTGAAGCATTGGTCTCATTATGTGTGGAGAGGGAGGGGGCGAGACGGAGCTTTGATCACCCAGCGAGGCCTACTCCTGCTTTCAAGGCTGTCTTTGACATAAAGGAGCATTAGTGATCTTTTGTGCACCTAGAAAGGGTTTTAAAAAGAGAATGAGAAGAGGCATGAAAGACTACAAAACAAATGAAACTGTGAGTAAAAAGGAGAATAGGCCGATCTGTCAGCTATTCCCTTTATTTATAATCAAAGTGACTGTTTAGCTGTTTCGTGAACCGACGTTTTGTCCTTCACTGCTGCAGTGATTATGATTAATTATGCCAGGGGTTTTCTTAATCCAATGACAACGTCAGTCACTCAAATATGATGATCTCCTTGCTACATGTAGATAAGGTAGCTGCACGTTTTCTAGTATACAAACTTAATTGAACTGACTGTGCAAGCATTAAAGGGATAGTTCACCCAAAAATGAAGATTCTGTCATCATTTACTCACCCAAGTTGTTGCAAACCTGTTTGAGTTTCTTTCGTCTGTTGAACACAAAAAAAAGATATTCTGAAGAATGTTGGTAACCAAATAGTTGCTGGTAGCCATTGACTTCCATAGTGTATTTTTTTTCTTTCTATGGAAGTCAATGGCTACCGGTTACAGTCTTGCTGTTTTTTTGTATTACCAAAATGTTTTTCAATTGTCTGTTGATTACGTAATACATTGACTTGAGTTATAACCTTTACAAGTGTACTAACAGTACGTATGTATATTGACTACACATTTCAAGATGAATTTTCAGCGACTCTTTCTGCAGGTAGGTAGATCTTTACGCCTGTAGGTGGCGTCTTTATGAGTGAGTCAATGAACCGATTAATTGAACGCTGATTCGTTTAGGAACTGACTTTATGAATAAGTAATTGAATTGCTCTCTAAACCTATTCATTTCAAAAAAACATTCAGGAACGAAAAAAATGACAATTTTTTTATGAATGAGTCATGAGTCATTAAATCAGACATTTAAAAAAATTGTTCAGCAACACTGATTTACTCAGGATTAATTCTCTCTCTTAATTTTGTTTCAATTGTCTGGCTCACTCATTTTATTTATAATATATAATACACAACATTAGTATAACAATATTAGTTACAATATTGTACACACATCTTTATATTTATTTATTTTTTATCCACAGAATATTCAATTTTCTGATACACTTGTAAGGGCTATACCTTGATATATTATACAATCAAGACATCAATATTTTAGTAATACATTTTCTGTAAACTATATGGTGGATATTCTGCTTCTCACAAGGTGCCTTTAATAATAACGAAACGTGAGCATCTGTCCAAGCCTTTGCCATTTTCCATCTATGACCTGAGAGTCATGTCTCTCCCTCCATCTACACAATTGGATTTTTCACACCCTCATGCAGCTTTGATGATTTTCAAAGCTTCACATCTGTCCTCCTGTGTTTTACAGAACAGAAACCAGTGACTGTGCATGGTGACAGTCCGGACTAGCGAGTCGATGCAGGTGGTCATCCTTTCCTTTCATCACGTCGCTGTTAGTCTGAGCGGAGAGGTACAGTGAGACCGTGATGTTGGAGGCCAGTTTGTGTGCCAGCCCGGAACAGATGAGATGGGCTTTGATGTTTGGTGGGGGCCCGAGTCGCTCAAGCAGCTCAGATCCAATTTCTGACCCTTTTGTCGGCACACACTCTGGGGTCAGAACTCTAATACCCCTTTGGCCTGTCAAGAGGGAGGGATTCTGATCCCTGCACAAACTCAGAACAACAGCAATTTCCAAGTAAGACTAGAGCCGTTGATATTAACCAGCGTGAACCACAAGGAATTAAAATGCCGCATTAGATGGGCGACTGCAGGGTCTGATGCCGATTCACTATAGATTCGGTAGGGCTGGCTATTGACACAGATTTCACGAATTGATTCCTATTCACAAGCTCTTGATTCGATTCCGATCTTGATTCATTTGGATATATATCAGGTACAATGTTCATTCATGTTTATTTCGTGCTATTGTTGTAAAGTGGAAGAGATGATCTGTTCACATGCGCTCCGTGCTGTCGCTTTAAATGAAGCACCTACAGCAATCATTAAATAGCAGCAAAATTTCAAAATTTAAAAGCTAAAACTTTGTTTCTTGTCAAAAGTAACAAGGTACAAATCTTGTTTATGTAAAGTTTATGTGGGGTGTAAATATACTCATCTAATTGGCAATTTACTTGCACGCTATGAACTGAACTGCTTCCGCATCAATGAACACGATAGCTCACTTGCTCTGCTCTTTCCTCAAACACTTTGAATAGGAAGGTGACGTAATTTTGGTCTAGAATCGAAGTACTACATGTCTGCCATCTAGTGGTAGGGAATGCAAATGAGATATTACACCATATTAGGAACTACAGTCTATTTGATTAAGTATGACGTCTCATCGCAATTTTGCGACTTTGGCGCTAAGAGGGTTAAACAACGTGGCGCAAGACGTGAAAATGACAACTGCGTCGGGCTGAAACTAGCAAAAAACACTTGCGTCACGCCTGGCGCTGCATTGCGCCAGGTGTATGATAGGGCCCTCAGAGTCATAACAGGGACACGCAACAAACAGCTGTCGCGATCATCTCGAATAGGATAAAGACAGCCGTGGGTAATGCGACCGCGTCGACCGGCTGTCTCTGCCAGATGTGACATTTCGTTGCGTTTCGCCTAAATGGCTCCGATAAAGAGTTCACTTGTGCGGTCCGGAGAGGATGAGACCAGCCTAAATGAGAACAGATGAGCCTGGCAGGCAATTCTCATTCAGCGCCGGGCTCGGTCCAATAATGAGGTGGATCTCAATTATGCCGCCACGGCGCTGTGAAATGGACCGGGGGCTCCCACCTCGATGCCTCCGGAGGCCCTTCAAGCCCCCACGTCCAAATTGAACTGATGGAGCAGAAAAGCCATTTTGATTTTCGTTCTCACCTCTGAAAACAAGGTTTGGTAGTGATAATGCCAGGCTGCCGTGGGCATCTGCCGTGCGCTCGCGAAGGGGGTCAGCCGTGGCATCGGTGGGTCCCTATCGGACGTGCCGTATAGGGGCGTAATTGGATTTGTGCTGACAGTCTGTTGACACAGACATTATTAATTGGGGTGGCTGGATTGACACCCACTTAGATAGCCACATCATAAATGCATGAAACTCTGCGCGATAATTGCAATCGCTCCGCTAACTGCGGTGGGCTTGATTAATGATGCCGTCATCAGCATATGCCATAGCTGACCTCATGGTTATTGAGTTAGCGGGCTAATCAGAGAAGAGGTGGAACGTCTATGGCTCATTCGCACTCGAGAGAGGCACGAAAGATTGTTGAGGCTCTTCAAACAACTCTTATAACCTAATGAATGCAACAGTTGCCAGTAGAAGCAGTAGAAGCAACAACCCAGCACAGCGGGATCACTAAAACATGGCCTAAAACAGGCTCAATGCTATGAAGCATAGTGAATGACATAAAATAAAAATGCTAGAAAAATACAATTATTTATTTAAAGATGTTGATTATAGAAAAAACATAATTTAAGTTTATTGCAAAATATGCATCTTATACATACAAATATTTAGAACAAACAAATAAGCAGTTTGAGAGCTTCATGGAAGTGGGCTAGCACTATGTGCTTGTCACAGTTCCCTGATTGGTGGAGATTTCACTGCAGATTCATGGGTAATGTAGTTTTTTCACAAGTCATTTTGCTGTTGAACATGATAAATTAAAATAATGCAGGCTGATGTCTTCAACAGAAGCATATTAACAACCCTGTAGCTCACAGTATGTATGTTTTAAAGATTTGCCTTGTTTTCATGAGACAGAAAATACTAGTACAATTATTTAAAATAATAAAGAAATTATATTATAACAAAGTTATTATTACAACATTGACAAATTAAGCACACAATTATAAACAAATATATTTTTTGTGGCCTTGTTAACTGATTTTTTATATTTTCAGAAATATCCATGATTATGAGATATAATACTAGCACAACCATCATATTACTGTTACAATTACTCAAATCCATAGTTATTACATTAACTGGCACATCTGTGTTAAGTACATTCTAGTGATCACCTCTATAACCATTTTCAAAACTACTGGCATATAAAGTTGTGTGAATCAAAGATATAAACTCAGGGAACTCTATAGGTAACGGAATCATCTAGACTATAAAAAAAGATTTTTCAAAGTTGTAAATAAAACAGATTATTGGAGTACGTTTCATGTGATTGTGTCCTACAGGTGTGGTGCCCAATAGTCTGGGTCTACACAGCCTGCAACCCAGTCCAGTGGCTCCAGACAGCCAGGATCAATCTCCGACCGAACTGCAGTACCGCAAAAAAGTCCAGCACCGCCGATTCTCCATGGAGGTGAGTCACGTTTAATCATCTCATCCTTCTCCATGCTAAAGCCCAGCCAAGTGTCCTTTCCAGAAGCTTTGATGGAGTCCTAGTGATCCGAACAGAACAACACAAGCTCTGCTTGTAATCTTGTCTGAGTCCTTAATAAAGTCCTTGCCAGAGGCACTAAAGCCTCGTTATCAAACGCTTTGTTTCTCTTTAAGGTGAGACTAGGTAAATCCACATAAAAGTACTAAAGCAATGATAAGTTTTTGTCTAACTGCCATAAAACACTCCTTTACTATGGTAATCACAGTTATATGGAGGCCCTAATGGGACATGATGACAGTAAAAATATTAGATGGGAAAATTATATTTTAACACTTTTGCATTCTCACGAAACTCGCTCGCAAAACGTTTGTGATGGAAATAATATGAGGTGGGAAGAAAAACTATATTTCAGTGCTTTAGCGAGTGACTTCAACGTATCTTGAGGGAATGCAATAGTTTTGCAAAGAATGCAAAGTTTCTCAGGGAAATTAACGAGTTTTGTGAAAGAACACAAAGTTTCACAAGGGATCGCAATAGTTTTGTAAAAGAATGCAAAGTTGCTCAGGGGATCACAATAGTTTTGTGAAAGAATGCAAAGTTGCTCAGGGGATCACAATAGTTTTGCGAAAATTGCGATAAAATTTAAAGTTTTTCGGGTGAATGCAATACTTTTGCAAGAGAATACAAAGTTTCTCGGGGGAATGCAATACTTAAGCATTTTTTAAAAATGATTATTCCTAATATATTTCTAAAATGATTTTCACAATGCAAATCGTTATAAATAAAAAAGTTAAGTATTCAGTCACATTACTTATTTTTGCATATTGGTAAAATTATTCTGTAAATGTGTTTCCATCATAGTTTTCCTTGTGTTCAATCATAGTCACTGCAATGCTTTCATACAGATTTTTGTATATATATATATATTTTTTTTTTTTGTCTAATTTTCTCAAATTTTGTTGTGGTAACTATGGGATTTCAGCAGAAATTGTGGTTTCCATGGTGAATATCTATACTGAAATACATACATACATATATATGAATATATATATACACACATAACACATATAAGACACATATATGTATTATAGTGTCATAAATAAGCAAGTTCAAAACACAAAACAAACCATGCCAACTGGATTGGTGAATGACAACAACAGACTAACCAGAGACTGCATGAGGCTGCTGCCTTTTACTCCTCTCTTCTACCATAATCATCCATGCAATTTAGTATCTGTATGAGAGAAGAGCCTCAGTTGGAGGCACATGAGAAAGATGGAGTCCATCATTAAATGGAGTGGAAGTATTACCTGTAAGTTAGTCCAGCGCCACAAAAGACTGACTCCGCATTCGGAGTGTTCTTTGCCTCGGCTGTCAGCTTTCTTATTCAGTGGCCATGAATCTAGAGGGGGAAAATTGGAATGAATGCCCTCTCCCATTTTCAAATCCGACGGCTTCTTTCTGCTCTCGCAAACCTTTTATCTGCACCGTGCACCCTTATTTTATCCCCACAGGCATGACGGGAGAGAGCCGAGGAGAAAGGAGGACTTTTTATTCCCTGATTTTATTGAGAATCGCTGGCTAGTTTTATTGCACGACCGTACAAACTCAGCCACAAGGCAGAGTGGGAGGAATCACAGGGAACGCTCTCATTTTTCAGAGCACCTAAGATTCCCCCTCATTGCCGTGCTATTTTTGGGCCTCTCTTAACCATGGCGATGAATCGAGTTACGAACTAACTCCATCAGAGCTTCTTAAATGCAAGAAGATTGTTGGTTATACTTCAGCCTGTCGTAAGATACAATATTTTGTCCTACCCTGCCTTGGCGTGTTAAGATTATGCCAGAATCCTTTATTGAGTGAGAGTCTTCGTACTGGAGAAAAGTGACAGGTTTTCACATTGTCATGCTGAGTTCGTCATGGTAAGAATAGTCAGCTCTGCCTATAGGCGTAGAGTTGTGTTGCGCGGTGGAGAAAGCTGTCATATTCACCTTGACATGCTGTGTTTTCATATGTGTGCTAGCCGAACGCTAATAACTGACAGCTCTTTGATGTGTGTGCAGGATGTAACTAAGAGGATGTCTCTGCCCATGGATATTCGTCTCCCGCCAGAGTTTCTGAAGAAGTTGCAGATGGAAAGCCCTCCACCGTGCAAACCGCTCAGCCGCATGTCCAGAAGAGCCTCACTGGTTAGTAACCAAACTAAACTCACTTAGACAGTTAGTTAGCAATCAAAACGAGGACATTACATAGTCTAAGTTCACATTAATAACTACAGACTAACAGAAACTCTAACCCCCCTAAACTTTTTGCATTTAAAATTGAATAACTACAATTAAAAACTAAAAAGAAAAAAAGAATATTATATAAAGATGTAGTTAATATCTCAACAAAATTGCTAGAAAAGCAAACCTGTCTGCATACATACAAATCCTGTTCCAAAAACATAAGAGCTTCCTACCCAGACAACATTTTTAGGCATTATAGGCATACAACAGTACACAGATACCCATTTAATTTCTTTTCTTTTTAATCTTAAACTATGGAAGCCCGTTTGCACCACTGAATAAAAAATAAAAGAGGTAACTGTGAATTTTTATCTCGCAATTCAGAATTTTTTTTTCAGAATTGTGTGATACAAACTCGCACTTGCGAGTTATATAGTATTGCATGATATAATCTAGCAATTGCGAGAAGAAAAAAAAACCTCAGAAGCATTGCCTTATATGCAGATGATACCATTGTATTTCTATCAGAACTTGGAAAATCAATACCATCTCTTTTAAAGCTTATGGACCTGTTTGGCAAATTCTCTGGTTTTAAAGTAAATGAAGGGAAATCCTCAATTATGTTTCTCAATGAACAGGAGAGAATAAATCCAAAGGTAGCACACCCATTTATAAATGCGGTAAATGGTTTTGATTACCTAGGAATTAAAATAACCCCTAAAATATGCTCCCTTAGTTCAGCGAATTATGAACCTTTATTATCTAAATTGTCTGAAGAGACAGCTAGATGGATGACACTGCCCCTGTCTTTAATGGGAAGAATAAATGTAATCAAGATGACCATACTTCCGATCAATGTGTTGGGAGTCCCTGCGTATGCGCAATGTGAACGTGTACAGGTGATTGGAGACCACATAAAAAAAATTTAAAAAAAAAAAATATATATATATATATATATATATATATATATACACCGTATATATAAAGTATTGTGTATTGTATATATATATCAAGGAATAGTTAGAATAGTTTTTTTTTCTTTTTTTGGTTCAGCATGTTCAGAAGTGTCCACTTATGCTCTCCTGCTTCTTCTGTTCGAAAATGTGCTTTACCTCGCCTATCACTCAATACCCTTAGATACAAGAATACTGTCAAATTATTTATTATAAATATTGAATGAGTTGAGACTACAGGATGGTTTTTGTCTATCAGCTCCATTTACTGCACCACAGTCAGACAGAAAATCCTTAGAGTGTTGACAAAATAATCATATTTTGCACATCACACATCTATAAAATGCTGCAGACATTAATATGACCAAATTAAAATGAGGGACACCAGCACAATTACTTAAACTAATAAAGAGGGGGAAAATTGGAATGAATGCCCTCTCCCATTTTCAAATCCGACGGCTTCTTTCTGCTCTCGCAAACCTTTTATCTGCACCGTGCACCCTTATTTTATCCCCACAGGCATGACGGGAGAGAGCCGAGGAGAAAGGAGGACTTTTTATTCCCTGGCTTTATTGAGAATCGCTGGCTAGTTTTATTGCATGACCGTACAAACTCAGCCACAAGGCAGAGCGGGAGGAATCAGAGGGAATGCTGTCATTTTTCAGAGCACATTGCCGTGCTATTTTTGGGCCTCTCCTAACCGCGGCGATGAATCGAGTTACAAACTAACTCCATCAGAGCTTCTTAGATGCGAGAAGATTGTTAGATATACTTCAGCTCTTTGTAAGATACAATATTTTGCCCTGCCCTGCCTTGGCGTGTTGAGATTACTGCACAATCCTTTATTGAGTGAGAGTCTTCATACTGGAGAAAAGTGACAGGTTTTCTCATTGTCATGCCGAGTTCATCATGGTAAGAATAGTCGGTTCTGTCTATAGGCGTAGAGTTGTGTTGCGTGGTGGAGAAAGCTGTCATATTCACCTTGACACGCTGTGTTTTCATGTGTGCTAGCTGAACGCTAATAGCTGACAGCTCTTTGATGTGTGTGCAGGATGTAACTAAGAGGATGTCTCTGCCCATGGATATCCGTCTCCCACCAGAGTTTCTGAAGAAGTTACAGATGGAAAACCCTCCACCGTGCAAACCGCTCAGCCGCATGTCCAGAAGAGCCTCACTGGTTAGTAACCAAACTAAACTCACTTCAAAAGTTACTGATGCAATCTAAACGAAGACATTTCATAGTTTAAGTTAATGCTAATAACTGCAGAGTAACCGAAACCCTAACCCCGCTAATTAAAATAGAACAACTGCAATTTTAAAAAACATTATTTATGAAGATGTAGTTAATTTCTTGAAACAAAACTATATTCTACATACACACTGATTCTGTTCCAAAACCAGAGCTTCCTACCCAGGCAACTTTTTTAAGCATTATAGCCATATAATAGTACACAGATACCTATTTTTTTATTATTATTAATTAATTAATTTTTGTTTTTACAAAATCTTGAGCAACAAACGTGTTTCTGCAGATAATGCAATCCCAGAATGCACTGCAACAAGCTTGTGGGGAAAATCTTTTTTTTTTTTTAAATTAGGGTAATACCATTTATGAACACATTCTATATTGAGTACCGAAAAACATTGCTAATTAAAAAAAAATGTTTTTCAGTGGCCTTGGTCCTGGAAGTATTGTTTCCATTCATTTTCCCCATGTTTAAGAGTTATAAGGCATGACTTTTACAAACTTTGATTTGAAGCAAAAAAAGAAAAATCCGAAAATCCGACAAATAGACAAAAACGGCTTTAATGACTGATAGAATTACAATGCTATGAAGCATAGTGAATGACATAAAATAAAAATGCTAGAAAAATACAATTATTTATTTAAAGATGTTGATTATAGAAAAAACATAATTTAAAGTTTATAAGCAAAATATGCATCTTAAACATACAAATATTTAGAACAAACAAATAAGCAGTTTGAGAGCTTCATGGAAGTGGGCTAGCACTATGTGCTTGTCACAGTTCTCTGATTGGTGGAGATTTCACTGCAGGTTCATGGGTAATGTAGTTTTTTCATAAGTCATTTTGCTGTTGAACATGGTAAATTAAAATAATGCAGGCTGATGTCTTCAACAGAAGCATATTAACAACCCTGTAGCTCACAGTAGGTATGTTTTAAAGGTTTATAGGTTTTTTCCTCAAAATTAATTCCACTATGGAGAAAATAAATAGTAGTTTTACTTCCAGAGCCCAATTACTGCACTCTAGTGATCATTAAGTTCAACTCTAGTTTACTGTCAAGCTATACTATTGCTTTCAAACTTATTGTGAATAGTGCAATACACAACGGGTTTGTGCACTTTTAATGAGTTGTGTACTTACTACTTAGCATGCCCCTCATCTACAAAACAGCCTCAGCAGCGCTGAAAAATATTGAGAAAAAATACTTACACATGATAAATAACACAACATAAGGTGCATTCACAGCATTACTAAAAGAACTGCTATAAAAAAAACATTATCATAAACGTCTTCTACAGCCATTTTTCTCTTTTTCTCAGGTTTGCATGCTTTCAAAGCATTGGTCGCATTCGCATACTTACGCAGAATGTTTTTTTTTTTTTTTGTCTAACTCAGCATGTCCTTCTGCTACAAACAGAAAAACCTCAGTGGTTCCTACACAATGCCCTTCACTCGCTCCACTTCACATTAAACAATACTAGCAACCCTAACAACAGCCTCACTTTACATGTTGATATCCACGCACTGTTTACAGCTCAAAAAACTATTCATAAATGTTGTCACCAAACAATAAATTGAAGACACTTTGCTCACACTGTATTGCATTCTTTTCCAGTCGGACATTGGCTTTGGGAAACTGGAGACCTATGTGAAGTTGGGAAAACTAGGAGAGGTAAGATGTTTTCAGTTCCCTGGGTGAAGAAAAAAAAAATAGATGCTATAAGCAAAAATTAAAAACATAAAACAGCAGTCATTGAAATGAAGAACCAAATGTGTTCATTACGAGATTCCCCGCAGGCAATTACAGTGAATATGAGTCGTATTGAATGTGGATTCTGATTTAATGGGCTTTTTTTTTTTGGCATGAAGAGACATCAGTCTCTAATATGCTCAAAGCTGTACAGCGACTAGCCCGTCAATTTTCCATTAAGTGCAACAAAGCATGCACATTGCAAATTGTGAGAAATAATGTACTACATACAACCCTAAGGAATACCGTATCTAATGAATGTGTGAGAAAAACCTGAAGTATTGGAAAAAATACTGGACAAGGACTGCAGTGAGTTCACCTCAATAACGAAACAAATAGCAGTAATATCTTTGTATCAGCAGTTAAAAACGTTTTCATTAATGTTTAAAGGTGCTTTTAGCTCTGCCTGGAAAAGTTAGGGAAATTAATAAAATCTTTAAAAGTGTGCTATGGTTTCAGTCTCTTTTGTGAGTGAAATATCTGTTATATCGCAAACCTTGACCAATTATAGGCATGTCATTTAGCAGACACTTTTATACAAATTAATTTACATGGATGAGCAATTTACAAGGACAATCACCTTGGAGGAATCTTTGGTCTTGCTAAGTAAATGATGGGATATAGTTCATGGATTTACCTGAAGGCTTTGAAGCAAACTTCAAAAAAAAAAGAAATTAATACTTTTTTCCAGCAAGGACACATTAAATTGATCAAAAGTAACAGTAAAGACATTAATGTAAAAAAAAATTATTAAAAAAAAAAAGGCTGTTTTTTGGAACTTTTATAACCATTTTCACAAAAATATTAAGCACAAGTGTTTTCAAAATGTCTCTTGAAAAATTTATAAAGGAAATGTGACACTGAATGACTGCTGAAAATTCAGCTTTGCATCACAGGAATAAATTACATTTTATAATATACATAGAAAACACTCTTAAATTCTAATAACATTTCACCAAGGCTGCCACCCAGTGGCTGCTGAGCTCACGCTAGAGGGAACATACCATGATGCACTGCATTACAAAACATGTCAGGACATGAGAGGTCAGAGTTAGGCATAATTCAGAAAGCAATTCTTTTATAGCTCTGGGACTTCATTTAAGCATCAACTTGTTTCAGATTTAATGTTGCGGGGATCCCTTTCTCTAAAGAAAAATCTGAGATGCAGAAAAAAATATCTTAAATTGTGTTCCGAAGATGAACGAAGGTCTTACGGGTTTGGAACAACACGAGGGTGAGTAATTAATGACAGAATTTTCTTTTTTGGGTGAACTAACCCTTTAAGTTAAACAGTCGATTTTAACTATTTAAATTAGGGTGTATTCACACCAGGAAAGTCCGCTAGTTCACTTTCTTTGGTCCGGACCAAATACAAAGTTTATTTTTTTTGTTTGGTGCGGTTCGCTTTCACACTGCCCTTTTTGCAAGTGAACCAGAAACTGTAAACAAAACCACACATGTGCTTAAGGTCATCCATTCATTGGTTTATCCATTCAACCGTACCAGAGTTCGTTTGGAAGCGGACCGAGACCACCTCTTCAGCTGGGTCTCGGTACGGTTGTTTGGTCCGCACCCGAGTGCGATTGCTGTATTCACACCTGCCCAAAAGATCCGCACCAAGGGGGGAAACGAACTTGAGTTCGATTCAATTGAACCAAACAAGACAGGTGTGAATACACCCTTAGACATTAGTTACATTTGCAAACAAGGCACCACTCATATTTTCTCTCTAGACACATTTAACCATTTAAACTAGCCAATTTAAATAAACAAATCTAACCATTTAAATGAGAAATTAGTTGAATTAGATTAATTTAACTCTCTACACTCAAAATAAATCATGCCATAGTTTATTATTAAATATTTGCATATATTTAAATATTTCCATAAGGTATTCCTTTAATTTGAATAAACTGAATAAATTTAACTGGTAAAAAAATATGGCTAGCTGTGGAACAAGCTAGATTCACTTAGTTAAAATGTATGAGATTGGTTTACATATTGTAAATTAGATTTCTGACAATTATATATACCTGGTTATTGTGCATTTAAACGCATTCAGTTCATTAGTATTATTATATAAATATGTTTTATTCATGTATGACTGATGAATAAGTTAATGTTAAAACTGTAATGGATGGAAATCCTATATGCAATTAATATACATAAATCTTAAATATAGGCAAAACATTTCTATTGTTGACATGAGTCAGATTCTCTTTATGAACTATTAGTATGTTGTCGAGATGATTGCTGGACTATCATTGCCACCACTAGAACTTTTTTGCTTTCTCAGCACTCAAACTCATTCAATCTAGTCTTTTTTTATTTATTCAACGTCGCATGTCAAAATATCTAAATGAATAGGTATAACCTTTTGTTTTAGAAAAAAATCCCATTTATGAACTTTATGAAATAATACACCAAACTGCCTTTTGATCATGCCAAAGAGCTCTTGACTGTTGCTCAGTCCTCCAGAAGAAACATTAAGTTAGAAAATTGAATTCTGTCTTTCCTGACACAACCTTTTAACGTCACAAGCACACCCTGACACGCACTCCTCAGGCAACCCTGGATAGCTGACACGGACTCGGACATAAATGCTTTTTTAAAGCCATCCTGTTCGATAAAAATGCCGTTGTGTTTAATCCTCCTCAGGATTAGTCCAGTGGGCTAATCAATCCGATCGTGACAGCAGCCACATGTGTCTTTCCCATATCTCCACCTCGCAGCTTCCCCAAAACTACCCTCCAGTCAAGCAGACGTCAGACTGTGATAGGAGAATATTCTCAAAACAACTGTGACAGCCCTGATCTGATATATTCAAATGATGTCTGCTGGCTTCATTTAAAAGCTTTGACGTATAGAATAACAGCACTGAAATGAAAAGAGATTTTATGATCATAACGCAGCAGGAATATGATGGATGTCTCTGTATGACTAGGGGCGTGGGCTGTATCCTGTACGAAATGGCGACAGGCCGTTCCATATTTCCTGGATCGACTGTCAAAGAGGAACTACACCTGATATTTCGGCTTATGGGTATGAGAGACATTTTGTGTCATTTTAATTATGTATAAATTAATATCTTGAAAATAAAGGTTCTTTATTGGCATCTTTGGTTCCATGAAGAACTTTTAGCTTTCCAATCCACAAAAGGTTCTTTATAGTGGAAAAGGGTTTTTTAGATTATTAAAATGTGCAATGAACTTTACACTATAAAAAAAAGGTTCTTTCAGAACTGTTGAAAGGTTAAAAAGAAATGGTTCTCTTGTGGCATCACTATGAAACCCCCCTTTTGAGGTTTCTTGGGCAAATGTGAAAATCTGGTTACATTTGCATATTTAAATGTTACATTTCTCATTTTAATTAGATCAATTTGTCTAGTTGAACAACGATGCACTGGCACTCAAACGTTGGTCAGAAAGGTTTTTAATGTTTTAAAAGAAGTCTCTTATGCTCACCAATGCTGCTTTTATTTGATTAAAAATACTGTAAAAACAGTAATATTGCAAAATACTATTACAATTTTTAAAAAAGTTTTCTATTTGAATTATTAAATGCAATTAAATAAATTTAATTATTAAATATTATAAAATGCTTAAATAACTAATAAGTCAATTTATTAAAGAAAATTAAATATAAATTAAGTATAGACCTCTAAGTGACATTTCAAACACTGATTAACAGCATCTAATGATTTGGAAATAGCCCATATGTTTTAGGATAATGGGGAATTTAGGCTAAAAAATAATTATATTAATAGATACTATACTAACAGCAGTAAACAACCTTTCTAATTCAACAGCTAATAGCTTTTTGCATGTCACTTTATGCACATGGATAAAACGGTGTCAGGCATAAAATAGTATTCATAAAAAAAAGTATTTAAATTAAACAAATTTTATCTATACTTGTCATGATTGAATTAAAAAAATATAGCTGAATTTTCTTCATTCAAGTTATCCGCAGTGGATGCATGTGATGTTGCCTTAAAATTTGGTGAAAATGAGGTATCTTAGAAGGCAGCTGCCTACATTTTGTATGCCTTAAAATGCTGTCCTTGTTGGAAGTGCTAACATCCGCCTCTCTGTCCTTGTAGATATTTATGTTCCAGCTTCTTCGTGGTTTATCATATTGTCATAAGAGGAAGATTCTCCACCGGGACCTGAAGCCTCAGAATCTGCTCATTAATGACAAGGGAGAACTCAAACTGGCAGACTTTGGTGAGACGTTCTTACAAGGCCTGAATATTCACAGTTGCGTTTACTTTGGTGTGCTGTACAAAGAATATCTGACTTGTTTTTTAGCACATTACCCAGCAGCGGTCTCCCATGTGACTCTTGGCTCAGATTGACCACAAAACCAGTCATAAGGGTCAATTTTACGAAATTGAGATTTATACATCTTATGAAAGCTGAATAAATAAGCTTTCCATTGATGTATGGTTTGTTAGGATAGGACAATATTTGGCCGAGATACAACTATTTGATAATCTGGAATTTGAGGGAGCAAAAAAATCAAAATATTGAGAAAATCGCCATTAAAGCTGTCCAAATGAAGTTCTTAGCAATGCATATACTAATCAAAAATTAAGTTTTGATATATTTACGGTAGGAAATGTAATTAATTAGCATTCCTAAAATACTTAAAATCCCAATGATTTTTGGCATAAAGAAAAATCAATAATTTTGACCTATACGATGTATTTTGGCTATTTCTACAAATATACCCCAGCGACCTAAGACTGGTTTTGTGGTCCAGGGTCACATATGATGATTTGAAATAAAAAACCTTTTGTCTTTAACTTTCAATTTTTGTCAATTTAATGTGTCCTTTGTAAATAAAAGTAACAATTTCTTAAATAATAATAATAATAATAATAATAATAATAACCTTTGCTAATTTATACACAGGACAAGACCACAGACCGAAAAAAAATATTACAATGAATGCACAGAAGTAATCATTCAGAGTTTGCCCTTGTATGTATTGTTTTTGCTTTTTTTATTTTCCAAAACTACTTGTTTCACAGAAAACAACTTGACTTACTGGCAAACTCTGTGATTGAGTGATTACATGCTCCTCATAAGCGCTCGTTCTAGCAGCCAGCTGTAAACATGACAACCTGTGCAATTCGATTCAGAAGCTGTGCAAAGCCAGCCAACCTAATCAGAGCTTGCCAGATCAACAAAACATCAGCCATTTTTTTATGCAATATGCATCAGGCGGTCAGTGAACAGACTGTGGGTGGTCGTGGGTGCACCGTCTGAGGCAGAATGAAGGTCTAATTATCTCACTGTAGGACACATACTAAAATTCTTACACTTCTTTCCGTAACCAGGCACCCCAACTGAGGAGAGCTGGCCCAGAATCACAGCTAATGAGGAATTCAAATCCTACCTGTTTCCTCAGTACAGAGCACAAGCGCTCATTAATCATGTGCCAAGGTACCACACGAACACCACAAACTAACTTGCATGCAACAGGACTAGCTTTTGGCTTCTTTAAATAAAATGTACAAACAAAAACACACCTGTATCTATAAATAACAACAGAGCATGTTTTGGAGACTTTGCACGCTATGAATTATAGATGGTGAATATTGTAATACACAAGCATGTGTTTTGTTTTTTTTAAGGCTTGACACAGAGGGAATAGACCTTCTTACGGCTTTTTTGCTGGTGAGTGAAAATCTGAAGAAAAAAAAGTTGGATTATTTTGATTTGAGCTAGAAACATACTTTATGCAAGTATGCAAACACAAATGTGAAGCCTCAGCCAATGCATCACAAGCTTGAGTATTTCGGGCTTGTTTATAATTAAAAGTCCCACAGTATGCAATTTTTTTTTCTGGTTATTATCTGAATTAAATGCCATTAAATGGTTATTTTTTTGTAACCAAAATACAATGTTTTCAATATACATAACTTCGTAATTTCTAAAGGAATAGGTCACCTAAAAAAAAAAAAATTGGCTGAAAATTTACTCACCCTCTGGCCATCCAAGATGTTTGTTTCTTCATGGGAACAGATTCGGTGAAATTCAGCATTACATCTCTTTCTCATCAATGAATGCTCTGCAGTGAATGGGTGCCGTCAGAATGAGAGTCCAAACAGCTGATAAAAACATCACAATAATCCACACGACTGCAGTCCATCAATTAACATCTTGTGAAGCAAAAAGCTACATCTTTTTAGGGATAAAAGAATCCTTTGTTAAGATGTTTTATCTTTAAACCATTGCTTCTACACAAACTACAGTCCATAATGTTATCCTCTCACATAAAAACCCACTGACACATTTGTTTAAAACTGTTGTGGACCATTTTCACTTGTAAACAGTGCTTGATCTGTGCATATTTCTCTCCTGATTTAGACAAGACAACTTTTCCACTGCAGAATGCAATATTATGGATAGAGGACTCATACCTTGGTTGAAAATGGTTTGAAGTTAAAGGGGTCTCAAACCCGCCCGCCGCCGCTCACTCAAGCTGGCCACCCGCTCACTCTAGGCCGTCGGCCACCGCTCACTTTAGCCCACCGCCCTCCACTCACTCTAGGCCGTCGGCCGCCGCTCACTCTAGCCCACCGCCCTCCGCTCACTCTAGGCCTCCGGCCTCCACTCACTCTAGCCCACCGTGTGTTTCGTTGTGACTTTGTTTGGCCTTCCAAAAGAGGACACGACTAGAAATCAGTGGTTAAGTTGTATTTACAACACTTTTCCAGAACAGTTCAACCCAAATATTCAGATGTGTGCAGCGCATGTTATGGAGGACTGTTTCCTGATCCTGGTAGAGTAGACTACAATGCCGGCTGTTCTGACTCAGACTGT